GGGGATCAGCAGAACTGGGGGTTACTACTGAGTGGGGGATCAACAGAGCTGGGGGTTACTACTGAGCAGGGATCAGCAGAGTTTGGGGTTATTATTGAGTGGGGGATCATCAGAGCTGAGGGTTACTACTGAGTGGGGGGGGTTCAGCAGAGCTGGGGGTTATTACTGAGTGGGGGATCAGCAGAGGTGAGGCATACTACTGAGTGGGGGGGTCAGCAGAGCTGGGGATTACTACTCAGTGGGGCATCAACAGAGCTGTGGGTTACTACTGTGCAGGGGATCAGCAAAGCTGGGGGTTACTACTGAGTGGGGGATCAGCAGACCTGGGGATTACTACTCAGTGGGGGATCAGCAGAGCTGGGGGTTACTACTGAGCAGGGGATCAGCAGAGCTGAGGGTTACTACTGAGCGGGGGATCAGCAGAGCTGGGGGTTACTACTGAGCGGGGGATCAGCAGAGCTGGGGGTTACTACTGAGCAGGGGATCAGCAGAGCTGGGGGTTACTACTGAGCAGGGGATCAGCAGAGCTGGGGGTTACTACTGAGCAGGGGATCAGCAGAGCTGGGGGTTACTACTGAGCGGTGGATCAGCAGAGCGGAGGGTACTACTGAGTGGGGCATCAACAAAGCTGGAGGTACTACTGAGCTGGGGATCTACTGAACAGAGGTTCTAATGAGCTGGGGATCTGCTGAGTGGAGGTACTACTGAGCTGGGGCTCTACTGGGCCCCTTTATAACGTCAGCACACACACAGGGCATTTGTCAAGCTTCAATAAATCTACACAAACGCATGACTGAAGCATCAAAAAGCATGTTGAAGTGTTAGGGGCTTTAATGTGTGTTAAAGTCAAAGCAAGTGGAACCCCACAAAGTACAAACAGTCGGAGGTTCTATTCTTGCGCAGACTGTTTCTTGGTATAATTCTGGATGGCGGCCTGGAAATGTTCCGTGGTGTTCAGCTCCGGTCTGAACAGAATGACGTAACATTTTGGAACAAAATAGCCAATGAGAATCCCCAACACACTGACAAGGACAGCACAGACATTGACCGCTGCGAGGTACTTCCCTTGATAGACGATGTACGTGGTGAAGAACGCGATCCAGGAGAAGAAGTAGACCAGCAGACTGAATGAGATGCACTTGGCCTCGTTGTAGTTTGCCGGTAAGTCTTTCCCCATGTAGCAGAAGATGAAACATATGATACAGAGGGACCCGATGTAAGTGATTTGAGCGATGGCGCCGACAGAGACCATCTCGGAACATTTCAGTATGATCTGATCCAAGAAGGTGGAATAATCGGCTACAGGCCTTGGAGGCTTCACCACGATCCACACGACGGAGATCAGGACCTGAATGGTGGAACTGACGGCAATGAAGACGTCCGAGCCGTTCTTCTTCACCCCCAGATGTCGTAGACTCTTGGCATAAGGGAGGCCATCTTGAAAATGCACACAATCTGAAAGGCATGGACCACGATGCAGGAGAAGCAGATAGTGAAGCTCACAGCAAAGATGGGTTGCCTCACCATACACGTGACCACCTCAGGCTTCCCGAAATAACAGTACAAGGTGAAACACGAGAACGCCAAGGACAGCAGCATCCCCAGACACATCTTCCCTCCCGCCGATTTTACTACCGGCGTGTTCAGATTGATAATGAATATGGCGGCTATAGTGATGATAACCATCACCAGTAATGTAATGATGGACAGAAGGATGAGGGATGATGGCTCCGCCCACTTCAGATATTCCAAGGTTCGGTTGTAACAGACGTCACTTCTCATTGGAGACCACTGGTCAGATCCACAGGGCTGGCAGGAGTAAAGATCTGCAGAACAGAGGGGATTGCTATTAGTTTCAGATCAATCACTATGAATATTAGATGAATTTCAGTTCAATGGATACAAATTTAAGATTTAAGATCAGAGACTGCGGCTGTAGCACAGGAAATAACAGAATGCACGCATAGTACAGATGATCAGAGACTGCAGACACAGTACAGGAGATGACCAGAGACTGCGGACACAGTACAGGAGATGACCAGAGACTGCAGACACAGTACAGGAGATGACCAGAGACTGCAGACACAGTACAGGAGATGACCAGAGACTGCGGACACAGTACAGGAGATGACCAGAGACTGCGGACACAGTACAGGAGATGACCAGAGACTGCAGACACAGTACAGGAGATGACCAGAGACTGCAGACACAGTACAGGAGATGACCAGAGACTGCAGACACAGTACAGGAGATGACCAGAGACTGCAGACATAGTACAGGAGATGACCAGAGACTGCGGACACAGTACAGGAGATGACCAGAGACTGCAGACATAGTACAGGAGATGACCAGAGACTGCGGACACAGTACAGGAGATGACCAGAGACTGCGGACACAGTACAGGAGATGACCAGAGACTGCAGACACAGTACAGGAGATGACCAGAGACTGCAGACACAGTACAGGAGATGACCAGAGACTGCAGACACAGTACAGGAGATGACCAGAGACTGCAGACACAGTACAGGAGATGACCAGAGACTGCAGACACAGTACAGGAGATGACCAGAGACTGCAGACACAGTACAGGAGATGACCAGAGACTGCAGACACAGTACAGGAGATGATCAGAGACTGCGGACACAGTACAGGAGATGACCAGAGACTGCGGACACAGTACAGGAGATGACCAGAGACTGCAGACACAGTACAGGGGATGACCAGAGACTGCGGACATAGTACAGGAGATGACCAGAGACTGCGGACATAGTACAGGAGGTGACCAGAGACTGCAGTACAGGAGATGACCAGAGACTGCAGACACAGTACAGGAGATGATCAGAGACTGCGGACATACTAATGGAGATGACCAGAGACTGCGGACACAGTACAGGAGAAGACCAGAGACTGCGGACATAGTACAGGAGGTGACCAGAGACTGCGGACACGGTACAGGAGATGACCAGAGACTGCGGACATGGTACAGGAGATGACCAGAGACTGCGGACATAGTACAGGAGATGACCAGAGACTGCGGACACAGTACAGGAGATGACCAGAGACTGCGGACATAGTACAGGAGGTGACCAGAGACTGCGGACACGGTACAGGAGATGACCAGAGACTGCGGACATAGTACAGGAGATGACCAGAAACTGCGGACATAGTACAGGAGATGACCAGAGACTGCGGACACAGTACAGGAGATGACCAGAGACTGCGGACATACTACAGGAGATGACCAGAGACTGCAGACACAGTACAGGAGATGACCAGAGACTACGGACACAGTACAGGAGATGACCAGAGACTGCAGACACAGTACAGGAGATGATCAGAGACTGCAGACACAGCACAGGAGATGACCAGAGACTGCAGACACAGCACAGGAGATGACCAGAGACTGCGGACACAGTACAGGAGATGACCAGAGACTGCGGACACAGTACAGGAGATGACCAGAGACTGCAGACACAGTACAGGAGATGACCAGAGACTGCGGACACAGTACAGAAGATGACCAGAGACTGCGGACACAGTACAGGAGATGACCAGAGACTGCGGACACAGTACAGGAGAGGACCAGAGACTGCGGACACAGTACAGGAGATGACCAGAGACTGCGGACACAGTGCAGGGAATGACCAGAGACTGCGGACACAGTACAGGAGAGGACCAGAGACTGCGGACACAGTACAGGAGATGACCAGAGACTGCGGACACAGTACAGGAGAGGACCAGAGACTGCGGACACAGTACAGGAGATGACCAGAGACTGCGGACACAGTGCAGGGAATGACCAGAGACTGCGGACACAGTACAGGAGATGACCAGAGACTGCAGCCAGTGGCGTGTTTAGATTTTGTGCTGCTCTAGGCAACACAAAAATCGGCGCCCCCCTCAGAGAGAGCCTGACATTGATGAACAACACCCCTGCCTCCCACCTGAGAGAGCCTTCCACTACAACTGCCCCCCCCCCCTCCCAGCCACCATCCCACATGGTGAGAGAGAGAGACACTCGCCTTATCAGCTCCAGATATCCCCGGGAACGAGAGCCGGGCTGTGCATACATCATCATGAAACTCGCAGCCTCTCTTGGAACCCACCAGGTCCCCATGCCGTGTGTGTCCCCTCTTCTGAGAGGCAGTGCTGCCCCCCCTGAAAAATGCCGCCCTAGGCAAATGCCTTGTTTGCCTTGCGGTAAATACACCCCTGACTGCAGCTGTAATACAGGAGATTATTAGAGACTGCAAATGTACGATCGAATATATATTATGTCAGCGGTCTGAAGGCACTTTCATCCCCAAATAGTAAACCTGTCCCTTGTATGTAAACCATTTTGGCATACACGTACAATCAGCTCTGCAGCAATTCCTAAGAGCAACTAAGTAGCCATTTTTAAAATTCTACATTTCAGCAATGTACAGCTTTACAGTTGGTGAACAACAGGTCAGGGTTTTGGTCCAGGATAACAGTTCACAGGCACTCTATGGGGAGAAGTACCTACCTGGCCAGGCTCACCACCCATTCTCCGGCTCCTTGACCCTTTACACTCTGGCTTTCACTCACTCCACTCCACTGAAACTGCCCTACTAAACCTCACTAATGACCTACTAACTGCTAAAACCAATGGCCACTACTCCGTACTCTTCCCAACCAATGGCCACTACTCCGTACTCATCCCAACCAATGGCCACTACTCCGTACTCTTCCCAACCAATGGCCACTACTCCGTACTCTTCCCAACCAATGGCCACTACTCCGTACTCATCCCAACCAATGGCCACTACTCCGTACTCATCCCAACCAATGGCCACTACTCCGTACTCATCCCAACCAATGGCCACTACTCCGTACTCATCCCAACCAATGGCCACTACTCCGTACTCTTCCCAACCAATGGCCACTACTCCGTACTCTTCCCAACCAATGGCCACTACTCCGTACTCTTCCCAACCAATGGCCACTACTCCGTACTCTTCCCAACCAATGGCCACTACTCCGTACTCTTCCCAACCAATGGCCACTACTCCGTACTCTTCCCAACCAATGGCCACTACTCCGTACTCATCCCAACCAATGGCCACTACTCCGTACTCTTCCCAACCAATGGCCACTACTCCGTACTCATCCCAACCAATGGCCACTACTCCGTACTCTTCCCAACCAATGGCCACTACTCCGTACTCATCCCAACCAATGGCCACTACTCCGTACTCATCCCAACCAATGGCCACTACTCCGTACTCATCCCAACCAATGGCCACTACTCCGTACTCATCCCAACCAATGGCCACTACTCCGCACTCTTCCCAACCAATGGCCACTACTCCGTACTCTTCCCAACCAATGACCACTACTCCGTACTCTTCCCAACCAATGGCCACTACTCCGTACTCTTCCCAACCAATGGCCACTACTCCGTACTCTTCCCAACCAATGGCCACTACTCCGTACTCTTCCCAACCAATGGCCACTACTCTATACTCTTCCCAACCAATGGCCACTACTCCATACTCTTCCCAACCAATGGCCACTACTCCATACTCATCCCAACCAATGGCCACTACTCCGTACTCTTACTACTTGACCTCTGTGCAGCTTTTGATACTGTTGACCATCCCCTCCTCCTCAAAAACTCCACTCTCTTGGCCTCCAAGACTCTGCTCTCTACTGGTTCTCCTCCTACCTTTCACAGCGCTCCTTCAGCGTCACCTATAACACTGCCTCCTCTGCTTCACTTCCTCTTTCTGTAGGGGTCCCTCAAGGTTCTGTCCTTGGATCCCTTCTCTTCTCTATCTACACCTCCTCCCTTGGTCACTTGATAAACTCCCTCCTCATTGGCCGACCTCATCTCAGGCTATCCCCTCTTCAGTCTATCATGAATGCTGATGCCAGACTCATCCACTTTACTAACCGTTCTGTATCTGCCACCCCTCTCTGCCAATCCCTCCACTGGCCTCCACTCAGTGTCCTCCACCCCTCTCTGCCAATCCCTCCACTGGCCTCCACTCAGTGTCCTCCACCCCTCTCTGCCAATCCCTCCACTGGCCTCCACTCAGTGTCCTCCACCCCTCTCTGCCAATCCCTCCACTGGCCTCCACTCAGTGTCCTCCACCCCTCTCTGCCAATCCCTCCACTGGCCTCCACTCAGTGTCCTCCACCCCTCTCTGCCAATCCCTCCACTGGCCTCCATTCAGTGTGCTCCATCCCTCTCTGCCAATCCCTCCACTGGCTTCCCATTGCCCAACGAATAAAATTCAAAACATTAACAATAACATATAAAGCCATTTATAACTCCGCCGCAAATTACATCACCAATCTTGTCTGCAAATATCACCCAAACCGTACTCTCCGCTCATCGCACGACCTCCTGCTCTCTAGCTCCCTTGTCTCCTCCTCCCATGCTCATCTCCAGGACTTCTCCAGAGCTTCCCCCATCCTCTGGAACTCTCTACCCCAATTTATCAGACTTATCGCCTACTCTGCTCACTTTTAGGCAATCTCTGAAAACCTCTCTCTTCAGGGAAGCCTATCCTGCCCTCAGCTAATAATAGAATCTTCTACTCCTCCTACCAGTCCATCCCCCACAGTTACTACCTTTTGTACCACTAGCCCCTCCCTCTTAGATTGTAAGCTCCCAGGATCAGGGCCCTCTTATCCCTCTTGTATTGAACTGTATTGTTTCTATATTGTCTCCCGTTATATTGTAAAGTGCTGAGCAAACTGTTGGCGCCATAAATCCTGTATAATAATAATAATTATCAAAACTCCCGGTGTGCATGGAGATTTAAACTGGTCACAGACCAAGGGAGGAAGAAGAAAGCCAAATTACCGCTCGTATTCAGAAAGGTCATCGCTGGGCAAGGAAAACAATTAAAACAGCAAGCGTAGGAGCCGGTCTGCACCCTCCTCTCGCCTTTCCCACATTCTTTAGAACAAATCGATTCCGGAACCTGCAAATCATAATACAGTTACATGTAGACGAGCTGCACGATGGGCTGGAGAGCTCCGTATCTGTGAGAAGACAGACAAAGGTGCACAGACCCAGAGCAATCATAATAATAATTATCAATAGTAACAAACTCACAAAAGTGAATGATGAAGCCGGAGATCTGAGGACAAGAAGAGAAGCTGAAGCCCACAGGACATGGCTAGTGGCCAGCTCTACAAGTAGCCGCTGGGAGGGGCGGACTGACAACTCATGGGGCCCCCGGGCAACAGGAGATCATAGGGCCCCTGTGTCATCACCCACACTCAAACCACACCCAAAAAAATCCCATGAAAGGTACTAGGGGCCTCTCATGGAGCCCCCTACTGACCCTGGGCCCTCGGGCAGTGCGAGAGTTCCCAAATGGTCAGTCCACACCTGGCTGCTGGGGAACTGGCTCTTTTTCCCCAGTTAGAGCCCCCCCAGCCAGGCGCACACCATTTTCTTCACTCTTCCACTGGTTCATTAGAGCAATCTGGGGGGGGGGGGGTTAGAGTTTTATTGTAACATTGGGGCAGCACAGTGGCTTAGTGGTTAGCACTTCTGCCTTGCAGTGATTGGATCATGGGTTCAATTTCCCAACCATGGCGCCTCCTGCATGGAGTTTGCATGTTCTCCCTGTGTTCGCGTGGGTTCTTCTCCAGTTTCCTCCCACACTACAAAGACATGCTGGTAGGTTAATTGGCTCCTATCTAAATTGTCCTAGTTTCATCCGTGGCCACGCGGGATCTCCTGCATGGTGGGGGTCGGGGAAAGACCTGGCAACCTACCCTGTAAAATAATTGCTAAGAGAATTCATGGAACAAGTCGCTTATGAGTGACGGTCCATGTAATCATCAAGGGTTGGATACGAATGGATGGAGAGATGGAGGGATGGATGGAGAGATGGAGGGATGGAGGGATGGATGGATAGATAGATAGATAGATAGATAGATAGATAGATAGATAGATAGATAGATAGATAGATAGATAGATAGATAGATAGATAGATAGATAGATAGATAGATAGATAGATAGATAGATAGATAGATAGATAGATAGATAGATAGATAGATAGATAGATAGATGGATAGATGATAGATAATAGATAGATAGATAGATAGATAGATAGATAGATAGATAGATAATAGATAATAGATAATAGATAGATAATAGATAGATAGATAGATAGATAGATAGATAGATAGATAGATAGATAGATAGATAGATAGATAATAGATAATTAATAGATAATAGATAGATAGATAGATAGATAGATAGATAGATAGATAGATAGATAGATAGATAGATAGATAATAGATAGATAATAGATACCTGACTGAACTCGGTGTAGTTATTCCCCCTGAGGTCATCACAGAGGACAAGGGGGCGCTCTTTACGTCTGGAGGAAAATAAATGTAATCTCCAAACACGGAAAGGTTTCTTCACAGTAAGAGCTGTGAAAATGTGGAATAGACTCCCTCAAGGGTTGGTTGTGCCCAGCTCAGTGGATTGCTGTAGGAAAGTTCTGGATTCTTTCTTGGATACACAGAATATAACTGGATATAACATTTATAGGTAAAGTTTGATCCAGGGAATATCCGATTGCCTCTCGGGGGATCAGGAAGGAATTGTTTCCCCTGCAGGAGCAAATTGGATCGTGCTTTGCTGGGTTTTTTTGCCTTCCTCTGGATCAACTGTGTGTAGGATTATAACTTTTTCTTTTCTTTTTTTTTTTTAATGGTTGAATTGGATGGACTTTTGTCTTTTCTCAGCCAGACTAACTATGTAACTTCTGTTTAATTAAACTTTGGCAATAAAAATAGATTTTGCACTCTCCAGTTTTAGTAAATAGCCCCCACAGTCACTAACTTTCCAGCACTGATGTCATCTACTCACAAGGCCACAGGATCATTGGTTGCCTCCTTCAAACATCCACATTCTGCAGTTGGGAGACACAGACTCACTTCACCATAGGACAGCTGGACACTTCCCCCCAACTTCCTCCTGGCTCTCTCCAGTGAACTTCTTCAGACCCAACTGAGCCCAGGGCCACGCTTTGCAAATAGGCCACCCCAGCTAATGCTCCATTTGGAACCTCGATGCCATCTAGATAGATGGCACCTCTAAAAATCCTTCCACAGGAGCAGGGCCCGGGCACAGGGGTCTCCTCCAGCAGGACTGGACCCAGAAACTCTTTACCTCAGACTATTTATGGTCTCTCCAACCGCCTACTGGGCACACCTCTCCAGGGATTAGCTGGATCATCCATAAATATTCAGGCTGCCTATTCTGTTCTTTCTCTCACTATAAATGTGGAAGGATGTTTATCCCAAGGTATAATATTTGTTTTTATTGTTCATGTGGGGACTGCCTCTATTTCTAAATTATATAAAAACCTGTATTTCTGAGCAAATAAAGAGTTCTAGTTTGCAGCTAAGGTAGTGTCGTCTAGTTCTTGAGTGCAGTGCCAAAATACTTTGCTCCTGTGTCTCAGCAGGGAGTTATTTGACAGAAGCAAAGAGGCGGGGTGTCAGGCGGTCCGTCACATTTGCTAAAACTGCATGGTGCAAACTGTGGTGCTTCTCTGCATAGAAACCAATCAGCTTCCAGGTTTTAGCCCTGGTTTACACTGGATCCGATTTTGAAATCCTGCGACTTCGCTTGACGTTGCACGATTTCAAAGTCACATGTCATTGTGACTTTAGGTGCAACTTGGCGGACATCTGTGCATCTTCATGCACAGATCACTAAGCAAGTCGCACCTGAAATCACAAAAAATAGTGCAGGTACCCCGTTCTCAGATCGGTGAGGCACCGCAAAGTCGGAGTAGCACCGATTTGACCGGTTTCATTGCCGACAATAGGGTGTGACTTGTCATGCAATTTGAAACTGTCACATCACATGACAAGTCGCGTGTGAACCAGGGCTTACTGTCAAAGCTTAACCACTTGCCGTCCGGTCGCTGTATATAAACGGCACCCGCATTTTCAAGCTGTGCTCGCTCCCTGGGAGAGAGCAGCACCGCGATCCGGTGCCCGCTGTGTCCTCCGGACACAGAGGAACACCGATCGTCGGACGGGACCTCTGTGTGAGGTCCCAATCATGTGATCACTGATTGGCCAATCAGTGATCACATGCAGAGTAGTAAGCAAGTTGTCACTTGTGACATCATTGCTTACTACGTGTGAAATCTGTGAATGATCACAGAGGTCACATGATACAGGGCTATTCACAACAGCCTTGTACCGTGTGACAAGCTGTGACCCCTCACAGCTCTCACAGTATTTCTCAATGGCTGCAGGAATGCAGCCAGAGAGAAGGAGAAATTATTGTTTTTACTACTGTGACGTAAATGTATTGTTGGCTCATGGTAGTGTATGAGCCTGAATTTCTGTGGGTTCAGTGTGAGGCCAGGCTGGATGGCTCGGCAGGTTGGGAGTCTATCGCCTCCACCTGGTTCTGGAGGTCCATGGAAGTTTCCAGAAGCCAAAGGGTGGAAGGTTGGAGACTTCAATCTGCATATTCATGGGAGTCTGAACAATCCCAGAGAGGAGGCTCTGGTAGTGTGGTAGACTAGCCCATAAATATTAGAGAGCCATGTTAGCAGGGATGTCAGCTGGAAGATGGATTGCTGACAGGTGTTGCTGTGAAGCCTGGGAGGGAGCCCTAGAGGAGGGGGGTTCTGCTTCCAGGCTGGAGACTGGAAGCTGAGGAGAAGCTGAGAGTGGGAGCTTTACTGCCCTGCAGTCCACCGTGGAAGGACAGCATGCAAAGTTTGGAGAGGAACCAGCCCAGCTAGAGGTCCTGAAAGTAGTTCTATCTACAGCTGCAGGACAAGGACAGTATGAGCACCTCTACACCCCCAAGGCCTAGAAGGGAGAAGTATGCTGGATGCAAGTTCTGGGAAGTTTTCATAGCTAAGCCAATCCTTTGTCCTGGGATCAGATACTGTAGCCAGGTGGGCTGGTATTCTGTGCACCAAGGGGCCCAAGAGCTCCTACACATTGTCACGTTAGAAGTCCACTCAGGGGACAACGAGCTCCTAGAAGGGGATTACTTTACTAAGGACTGTAATAGTTCCGGCTGGGACGCAGTCAAGTGTCTGTGGCCAGAGCAAACGTCCTCATCATTCTGTTTCTTCACTCAACTTGGGCATCCCATAACCCCTTTGCTCCATCCAAGTTTAATCCCTTAATGAAACAAAAAAAAACCCCGAAGCCCATGGATTGTTTACTGACTTTGGATGCAAATGTGGAAAATGAGTGTTGCCTGGCTGTGAAG